TAAATTGGATTCACTCAATTTGATTTTCTTCCAGTGAATGCTCTTGGGAAGCCTTCATAAAATGGCTTTGAGTCTAAAATGGCTTGAGTCTATGGCCATTGACTTTGAACACCTTCTTAGTTTCTAAACTTTGAATCTCAACAGCACCATAAGAAAACATATTAGTAACAATAAATGGACCAATCCAACGAGAACGCAACTTACCGGGCATTAACTTTAATCTAGAATTATACAATAAAACTTTTTGCCCAACCACAAACTCCTTGTTTAAAATTAGTTTATCATGAAATGCTTTTGTCTTTTCCTTATAAATCTTAGAATTTTCATAAGCATCAAGACGAATCTCCTCTAACTCCTGCAATTGTAACTTTCTTTCCACACCAGCAGCATCTAACTCAAAATTACAATTTCTAACAGCCCAAAAAGCTTTATGTTCTATCTCAACAGGAAGGTGACACGAAGGTATCACATCTTACCAAAAACCAACCTGTAAGGCGGACATACCTATGGCGTGTCTTATAGGCTGCTCCTGTTAAGCCCACAAAGCTATCATCAATTTAAGGGCCTCCAATCCCTTCTATTTGGCTTCACCATCTTTCTCTTAGGAATAAGACTTCACCTCTCTGTTTTGATTACCCTCAGCTCCCCACTTGTTTTAAGGATGATAGGCTGTAGAAACTCTATGAAAAACAACCATATTCTTTAATAATGCCTCCACAGCTCTATTGCAAAAATGTAGCTGCCTCTGTCACTGATCAAAGCTCAGGAAATTCCAAACCTGCTGAAAAAATATTTGACTTGACCAAATCTACAACAACTTTAGAATCATCAGTTCTTGGTGGCTTTAGGCTTCCACCCATTTGGAAAAACATAATCAAACAGCAAGTAATATTTATAAGTAAAAACAAAAGAAAACATAATCTACAGCAAGCAATATATAAGTAAAATAAAATCGATTCCCCACACATCAAAAATTTCACATACAAGTATTGGGGTCTGACTCATCTCATTCCTTCGAGATATACTTCCTGTTCTTTGACACTGTTCACAATTTTTACAGAAAATAAATGCATCACGAAAAATGGTAGGCCAATAAAAACCACAATCCACTATCTTTCTACCTGTTCTCTTAGGTCCAAAATGACCACCAGATGCAAATGAATGACAAAAAACAAGAATTGATTCAATCTCATTATCAGGGATGCATCTCCTAATAATTTGATCAGAACAAAATTTCCACAAATATGGTTCATCCCATATATAATACTTAGATTCACTCTTCAAATTTTCTTTTTTAGCTCTACTTAAATCAGAAGGCATAGTCTTAGTAACCAAATAATTCACCAAATCAGCATACCAAGGGATCATACCTTGTAATTTAAAAAGGGATCATACCTTATAGTTCAAAAAGCTACTCATCAGGAAATAATTCCTACAAAGGAATTGGATCCTCTTGTGTTACTAACCTGCTTAAATGATCTGCTACCAAATTTTCAACACCTTTTTTTTCTTTAATTTGAAGATCAAATTCTTGTAAAAGAAGAATCCATCTAATTAACCTTGGCTTTGCTTCCTTCTTTGCTAAGAGAAACTTTAAAGATGCATGATCAGAAAACACAATCACTTTAGAAACCAAGCAAATATGACCGAAATTTATCTAAAGCAAAAACAATAGCTACTCTTTTTCAGTTGTGGAGTAGTTGCGATTGTGCAGAGGCTTCCAAATGTCCTATGATGCATATAAATCACACTGAAAAAGGCTTTATCCAAATCACGCTTGCCCTAAAACAGCCCGACCGCATTTAATTACTTGCATCGCACATAAATTTTCAGAATTGCGTACAGACCATATTAAAGGAGCTTGATAATAGGAGGGTGTCGTCAAGTGCTGACTTTTAACTTGTTAAAAGGCCTCCTTACATCTTTCACAAAACTCAAATTTAAACATCTTGCTGCAAATAATCTAGATAAAAGTACTGCTATCTTGGAAAAATTTCTTTGATAAACCTTCGATTAGAAACCTGCATGGACCAAGGAAAGAACGCAATTCCCTCACAGTTGTGGCTGGGTATCTGTAAAATTTTCACAATTAAATCAACCTTTGACTTGTCTACCTCAATACCTCTATTAGGAAACAACATGCCCTTAAAACAATTCCTTTGGCTCTACCATAAAGTGGCACTTCTTATAATTAACAAAACCAGATTTTTCTCATATGCATCGTTCAAGGAACAGAAATTTAAATTTATGTAAAACATGCATCAAAAATGAATTCACCATTACACTTAAAAATCATCCATGAAAACTTCAAATGCCATTTATCAATTTAAAATCTGAGAATATGCTTGACCATACATCTCTGAAAATGTTGCTAGTGCATTACAAAGTCCAAAGGGCATTCTTCTAAATGCAAAAGTTCCAAAAGACAGTGGAAAGGTAGTCTTCTCTGATTCCCTTTGGGTGCCTATCACAACTTGATTATACCCCAAAAAACATCAAGAAAAGCAGTAAATAAAACTTACCTCTAACGCTCAAAGCATCTGAATCAATGAATGGCAATGGCGAAGTGGTCCCTTTCTAGTTTGAAAAGTTTCTTGCGGTAGTCTATCGCACCATAACGCCATCCACTCTGAATCCGTGTTTGGAACCAGCTCATTATCTTTGATTTGCACAAACCGTAACTCCTGAATTTCTTTGCACGACTTTGAACTGGACTTACCCATTTACTGTCTTGAAAATGGCGTAAATCACCCCAGCATTACTAATAGCTTCAAAAATCATCCTTCTTCAAACCAAACTTCCATCATCAGTGGTGTTCAGCCTCCTTATGAGGCTTCTCTACTTGGCTTAGCATCATCTTCTAACAAATCCTATGCATTAACCCACCGATGGGCTTTATACCTTTTATGTCAGCCAATTGTCCATCCAAAATTGCTTCCTTATGTATTCTTAGAACTCTTGTCAACCTTTCTTCTTAATCTTTAGTTTAACTTACTTGGAAATGCATACACTGGAAGTGTATCATTATTCTCCAAGTAAATATACTTCAAATGCGTCCGGTAATAGGTTTTGAGTTCAAAGAACTGGTGCATCTATAATAGAAGGCAAAAATTTTTTGGTATTGATTAGGTAAATCAATCCTTAGAAAACCCTCGTACCTTTTATGGAAACTAAATTGGTAATGGACTGCAATTCCATTACTGCATCTGTGAATTTCTGCACCTTAGGGCTGTTTGTACTTTTCTTTCATTTAAATTCCTTGACTAATCACTACTTCTACTCATCCTCCTTGCTTCAAGCTCAACGACCATTCTTCACACATGGAATCAATTACATCAAGAGAAACACAGAAATGCCTCATCAACAGGATGTTCCATTAGCATTCAAAAATATTAAATTTAATCCACTTCCTCTTTAATCAAATTCCATTGGTTTTAAAGTGCCCAGCCATTTCCACATCACATTTTAGTCTTGGTTCAGTTTTTTAAGAAAGGTCTTACCAAATAAAAATTTCAATGCAGAATTTGATGTTGGACAATACCTTTCCCAAAATCAATGCAGAATTTGATGTGGAAACACTTTCCCCCATATCCAAAATATAAAAATCTGCTGGAAAAATTAATTGTCCAACCTGCACCAAAACATCCTCAACTACACCCATCGTACGCATTAGAACGATCAGCCAATTGAATAATAATACTAGTTTCCTTCAAAGCATTTAAATTTAAAGTTTGAAAAACAGAATGCGACATGACATTAATAGATGCTCCCAAATCTGCCATTGCTTTCTCAATTTTAGAATCACCAATTCTACATGGGATAGAAAACGAACCTGGATCCTTACACTTTGGAGGTAATTTTCTTTGAATGAATGCCGACACATTTTCCCCAACGGTAACTTTTTCATTTTCATTATTTCTAAACTTTCGCTTTGTAGTATATAATTCCTTAAGGAATTTAGCATACCTGGGAATTTGCTTGATTGCATCAAGTAACGGTATATTAACCTTTACCTTCCTGAACATCTCCAAAATCTCTTTCTCTTGTTCTTCCTTCCTTGTCTTGGCCAACCTACTAGGAAATGGAGGAGGAACAACAAAATTATTAGCATCAATTATTTAGCATCATTAAGTTAGATTTACCTCAACTTCCAGGAATTATTCAGAATCCTTTGAACCTTGCTTTGTGCTTCTTGTTGACTCTTTTTACAACCTGCATTATCTAACTTCTCTCCCACTTTCGCAAAGTATGCACTAGCATTTTTTCTTTATGATAATCACAGAATTTGCGATGGAAGCTTACCAAATTTTTGAGCTTCAAGTTTGCTCACAGATGAAGCAAACTGACCAATCTTTGCTTCTTTATAATTATGAATACTAGTCCTAGTTATCCTTTTGCTTGAAACTGTTGTGTATTAGTAGCCAAAGCTTTAACAATTATCATCAAGGTGACATACCTTGATTGAGAGGAAGAAGCTGGGTTGATTCACTTGTGCGTCTTTGCTGCTGGTAGCTATTTGCATGGCTGATTCCCATTAAAAAACTCAAATCGGATGGATCTCTCCATCCCGGATTGGATTGTAAGAATTAGAATAGGGATCATACCTGCGTTGTTGCTGTCCAAAATTTCCTACTGCATTGGCTTGCTGCACTAGTTCATCCTCTTGAAGTGTAGGACACATATCAGTAGCATGACCAGGAACCAAGCAAATTCCACATGTTTTAACAGCTTGCATATTTCCTACAGCAATTTGTCTAACCAAAGAAGTTAAATCTGAAATTTGTTTCTCAAGATTAGACGTACTTACCTCATTAACCTTCTTAGACGTGTGATCCATTCTCATTCCAAACTGCTGGGAATTTGCTGCCATGTTAGCAATTAATCTTTTTGCATCTTCCGGTGTCTTGTCAACTAAAGCACCTCCACTAGCAGCATGTATCATATTTCGATCCATCGGCATAAGTCCCTCATAAAAATATTGGATCAACAGCTGCTCAGTAATTTGATGATGGGGACAGCTTGCACAAAGTTTCTTAAACCGCTCCCAATACTCATATAAACTCTCTTCACTATATTGCCGAATGCCACAAATGTCTTTCCCCTTATGTTGGCAGCCCGAGATGCAGGAAAATTCTTCTCTAAAAATATTCGCTTCATCTCATTCCATGAATTAATCGATCCAGAAGGAAGGTAATACAACCAGTCCTTAGCTTTATCTTCCAATAAGAAAGGGAAAGCTCAAAGCTTAATTTGCTCTTCTGAAACTCCTTGAGGCTTCATGCTAGAACACACCACATGGAACTCCTTTAAATGTTTATGCGGATCCTCACTTGAAAGTCCATGAAATTTAGGCAACAAATGGATTAGACCAGATTTTAATTCAAAAGCAACATCTAAAGTAGGAAATTGAATACACAAAGGTTGTTGATTTAAATTTGAATGCACAAAGGTTGCTGATTTAGGTCAGGTGTAGCCAATTCTTTCAAGGATCTGGCAGCCATGGTATCAATTTCAGATTCTGAATCTGAAATTGATTCCCTCAGAGAATTGTTTGAATTATCAGTAATCGTCCGTTCAGATGGGGCTTGACTCAAATTAGCTTGTTTAGCTTTTTTAGCTAATTTCTCAAACGTTTAGCTGTTTTTTCTACTTCAGGATCAAAAATAATTTCACCAGATTGAGAACTTCTTGTCATAAACCAAATGGCTTCAATTCTCCTTCAATTCTAGAACTTCAATTTCTCCTTCAATTCATTAGAAAATTTTACCACAAACCTGAAACCACAAAACACTACACAAAGGTAAGAAAACTATTTTAACAAAATAAAAAACCACAAAATATAATAATCTTTCAGTCCCCGGCACGGCGCCAAAAATTGATGTTTGTCGGTCACACCAAATTTAAATTACTGAATTTAACTGTACAAAGCGGTTGAATTTCAGCGTCGAAAACCTAGAGACTGAAATCTTAATTTTTGGTGTTTAAAAAAAAAGGGGTGCGTTGTTTTGTGAAAAAATTTCAACTTTAACATCAAAAAGAAAATTAATTAATTAAACTTAAAGTAGTAATGCAAAATTGATGAAAAAACCAATTCAACAGGTGATTTCAATCCAATGCACAATTGACACAACAACTTATTGATTTAATTACTCTTTGAATACTTAACTGAAATTTATCAAAAAAGCATGATAAATTCCCAAAACTCCCCTATTTTCCGTTAACTTGCAGCCAGCCACCCCTCATTTAACTCTAATTATTAAAACGATCGAGGTATTAAGCAATCCCTCTCAAATTTAATAAAAAGGCATTAAAGAATCAGGAAGTAGTTAAACTTGAAACAAACAATTTATTAAAAGCATTAAACCATTTTTAATTTCAACCTATTTGTCTCTATAGATTATACTTGAAAACCTGAAATATAATCAAAATTATCTAATTGCTACAAACATTTCAAACTGTTTCATAAACCAATTACGGATTATGAAATTCTTGGAAATAGCACTTAATCCTACCAAAACAATTCACTAATTAGGCCTTTTTAGCCAGAAATCAATAGATATCAACTTTCAATAAGAAACAAGAAACAACATATATTCAAGAATTCAAGAAGAAACTACTCATTTAAAACCCAAGTCTCACAAAAGTGCAAGGATGATAAATCCCTTGAATTGATGTAAAGCAATTAGCCACTCATAATCATGGCTTCCAATCACCAAAACAAAGAATAAAGAACAAAAACCTAGATTAATAGATGAACTAAGAGAAGAAAAATGTGCCTCCTAGCTGCTGTAGAATCACTCCTTATATAACACCTCCAAAAGGAAAAAGAATCCCTAATCAATTGGGAAATTCAAAAGCAGTAAACAGAAAATATTTGCTGTTCTGATTTCTCCCCTGTTTTTCAGCATCTTCCTCTTGATTTTCTGACCTTCTTCACAATTTTATGCGAATCTCCTTTCTCACCTTTCTTAACGAACTAAAGGGGCTCCGGGCCCAACGCATACTCACAGCCGCAGATACGACCTAAAAACCAGATCAGGTTGAAGCCCCTATTTCTGCTCAAAACGGGATCTTTTATGGCATTTTTGACAATCAAAACGACTTCACTTCAAGTAGTTTTCTTCACAACAACTGTAGGGATGTCTTCTAAGAATTCAATGGGCCTGGGCTGAGTTAGTTTGGACACTTGGAACTCTAGATATGAAGTCCACGACAGAATAGGTTGTGCTCAGTTATACAGCACATAGCTTCAAACTTCAGAGCTAAATTTGATCAATATTGAGCCTGAATTAGCTTCTGATTCCTCTTTGAAAATTGTAGAACTTTATTTCATCTTTCCAGCGCATCAAACAGAATCCAATTTGAAGGTCTACAACTCCAGATATCCCTGAAAAACCGAATAAGGGTCAAGATAAAAAAGCTGAAAATTTTAACCAATTATCATATTACTCAATGGCAACTAAAATAATGTCATAATTGGTAAAAATTGTCTAACAAAGTGAATTAGCACTATAAATAACCCAAAAAATGCATACGAATATAGACATTGAAAGCACTTGATAATGCACTTATCAAACTACGTAATATTATATATATATAATATAATATATATTATATATAGGCACAAAAATTAATGTGGCACAACTCTAGAGTATTAAGATGTTTATATAGAAAAATGTTAGTCTATATATTGAGTTGGAAATAATTTTTTATATTTTTAAAAATTATTTGTAATATAATTAATAGAGAACTTAATTAATACCATTAACAATATTTTTAGTTTTTAAATAATGAATTAAATTAATAATGTCATTAATGTTTTAAAAACTTTTCACTTTTTTTCTAAAATAATGAACGATATTATTAATATTTATTGTCTTTATTTTCTTTTTTCACTATTACATAATTTGTATAAATATCTATTTTAATATAAATAAAACCTTAAAGAAAATCAAATCATACTTTTAACAAAAAAAAAAGAAAAAAAGAATTCTTTGCCAACAATATAAGACTACTTTCAAGACATTTTATTGATAGGAGCTTGATCAATGTGGTGATAGCGATGGATTTACGAAGTGTATTCAATTTTCAATGATCAACTAAGGTATGATTTTATAATTTATAATAAATTATTCCATAACTATTAGCGTATTTGATCCATATAAAAGCATTTTATTTATTGTTAATATAATGAAGTTTTTACTTTTGTTCAGCATAATGCTACCTAAATGATAAAATTCATTTTTCACAATGGTTTTTTAATGAAATTAAAATTAAAATTCATTTTCTAATGTCATTAATCTGTGAAATAGAGAAATATTTAATGATAAATTTGATATTTATGTTTTATCTTGTGAAGAGAAATGATACTACTTCTCAACCTATTCCAAATCAGGGCAAATTTTGACGAATTTATTTTTAAGTTTTTAATGTTTATTGGATTTTGCTCAGATTTTAGATTATTTATTCAAAATGAATTCAATAACTGATATTTAAAAAGAATATTTTAAAATCTATTAGAATACTTATAAAAACTAAAAATATTAAACTTAATTATAAACTCGATTTATGTATACGTATGTCAATATATTGATCCTTTTGCAAGAATCTACAAAAAAAATTATTTTTTATTTTACTTTTTTATACATTAGTAAGTGTAATATTTGGATTCTTAAAGATAATTATTAATTATGATAAAAATAGTATTTTTGTTTTTAAATATTATACATTCGCACACAAAGCGCGGGAAGACGACTAATCAATATATATATATTCATATATATATAAGGCTATAAAGCAAGCATTTTTTCATTAGAAAGTTGACATGTGGCATATCCACTTGGCATTTTAATTTGACATGTGACATATTTCTCCAATTAAGTTTCCACTTGGCATGGTTTCATTTAAATTTATTTATAATTAGTGTTTCAGTTTGATTTGATTTGATTATTCAATGTATTAATATATTGGTTTGATTTGGATTTATTTTGAGTTAGTGTTTTCGATTTGGTTTGATTTGATTATTTAATGTATTGTATTGGTTTGAATTTATTTTGAATTAGTGTTTTTAGTTTGGTTTAATTTGGTTATTTAATGTATTAATGGCTTTAAGTAATTATTATTAATTATTAATTTTTAAAAAATGATAAAATTTAATAACAAACTTTTACATGTATTAATGGCTTCAAATTTGTGAAGTTACAAAAACATTTCAATGTTTTATTAGTGTATTAATGTTTTTAACTTTTGATTTGGTTATTTGTGTAGTTTTATTGGTTATTTGTGTAGTTTTATTAGTGTTTCCGTTTAGTTTTTTTTTTTTTAAATGGTGTAGTAATGCACTTTTTTTTTTTTTAATTTTAAATTGTTCACTCTCAAGAAACAATTTAACTTTCTTAAAAACACTATATATATATAAGTTGTGTCACTATATTCTTATGTATTTTTGACAAAAGTTTATTGGTCCCTCTTTTTAAATATATTATTCGTTTTTTCTTAAAAGTTCAGAATTTTCTGCATTTCAACTATTTCCACTAATGTGATAAGTAGCTCTTACTCAAATTTTTTTTGTCTCCATTTTTAAAGATTATTTAACACGTTTTTGCAGCCGTAAACTATCAAATACAAGTGAAAAGTACGATATAATGGAAAATTTGAATACAAATAGAAATTATTGGAAAATAGAGGGTATCACGATTGTAGGATGTATCTTTTAATAATAGTGGAGATTTTACGAGTACAAAGATGGTATTGCTGGATGAAAAGATTAAATATAATATTTTACATTTTTATTATTTGCATAACCAGTTAAAAATAATGCTATCATTTTAAATATTTATCCACCATAACTGAAAAAACTTATCATATAACCCATTTCTGAAGTGATTGTGTCTTTGTACTTGTCAGGAATAGTCTGTTCAAATCAAAATATACAATTTCAAACTATTTAAACTTCAAGCTACATACAACAAGGCATTTAAACTTCATTAGAGTAATGAAATTAAGAAGTCAATTTAATGAGAAAAACCATGACTGTGTGATGCTTAATTGTCATGTCCTTTACAGTAACTGCAAAGCTGGTTGGGAGATTTTGTATTTCATCTTCTTTA